AATTTTCTTGGATAATTCAAATTATAACTGCTAGTCATTCGAATAATGAAAAAATGAATGGAAAAATGATATTCATGTTATTTAGTATAATGTGAGGCCGAATCTAGGAACAGACCATCAATTTCAAACATCTTGTTCACAAAACATAAACACGAACTTGGGGTCGAATTGTTTTTAAATTCTATAAAAAGCAAACGAAGTCCGAAAATCATGAAACTTGTCAAGATGTCATGATATCATATGTGGAGGCTGTGATAAAAATTTGAGAACGTTTTGCGCAAGTTTGTCACATACGATGCTTACCACCTCGTCGCCCTCTTCACGAAATCATGAAACTTCTTCGGAGATTCTTCGGTTTGCAAGCATCGTACGTGACAACTTGCGCGAAACCTTCTTAAATTTTTATCACAGCCTCCACATATGATATCATGACATCTTGACAAGTTTCATGATTTTTGGACTTCGTTTGCTTTTTATAGAATTTAAAAACAATTCGACCCCAAGTTCGTGTTTATGTTTTGTGAACAAGATGTTTGAAATTGATGGTCTGTTCCTAGATTCGGCCTCACATTATACTAAATAACATGAATATCATTTTTCCATTCATTTTTTTCATTATTCGAATGACTAGCGGTTATAATTTGAATTATCCAAGAAAATTCAATTAAATGAAATAAATTAAAGAAATATAGAAAAAGTCCGAGAAATGTATTACATTGAAACATGGAGTACCAGGTATTATATGAGGACTACAGAAAAAGTTTGGGGGCAGAAAGAAAAAAAATAAAAACGGTTTGCCGAGTGTCTGCGTTGGCGCTCAGCAAAGGAGCCTCTTTGCCGAGTGCCAGGACGGCTGGCACTCGGCAAAGAATTTTAAATTTTTTAAAAAAAAACCCTCTTATCGAGTGCCAGGCCGAGTGGCACTCTGCAAAGAATTTAAAAAAATTAAAAAAATACTTTGCCGAGTGCCAGACCTGGAACACTCGGCAATTTTTTTAATGCCCACGCCCGCGCCACCCCCCGCGCCATGCCGCCGGAGGAGGAGGAGGCACCCCGGCCGCCGTTGCCATGTCCCCGGCGCTTCCCCAGCCGTCGCCTTGTCCACCGGTGCCCTGGCCCCTTCACCACCGCCGCCCTACGACGCCCACTAGGTATGCCCTATCGTCGTCGTCGTCGTTGTATTACTAGTAGTTGCGGTAGTAGTAGTGGTAGAGTAGTAGTGGTGGTAGTCGTAGGAGTCGTAGGAGTGGTTGTGACATTGTTATATATATGTGGTTGGATATAATCTTGTGCATGTCAGCCATCGTGTCGTTCATATATATGTGAATGTCGGCCATCGTGCCGTTAGTTTTCTTGCAGGTTTTGGAAACCTCACCGTGCAGGGGAGGTGCTGCCGAAATTTTGTATTTATAGTTTTATGTTTCTTTTTTTGCAGAGAAGAGCCCGTCGGAGTGGAGCCGGAGTACCTCGGCGACCCCGATCGCCTTTCTCGCCGCTGCAGGTCTGCCTGCACCGCGTCGCCTCACCACTGCACCGACCCGCCACAGCACCGCTAGCCTGACTCCACCGCCACCCTAGGTATAACCCCTCTTTCCGTATCATGGTCGTAGATCACGTAACCTAGTTAGGTATCTCTCGTTCGAAAGAGATACGGTTGGAAATATGCAGATATTTTCATATCTAAAACCGTATCTGTTTCGAATTATCCATGTTTTTTGGACAGCCCACGGATGCATAGGTGGGCTTAGTTTCCATGGTCTGCTCCGATCCGAGACAGAGTTTCGGCATCATCTCCCTGTTGTTCTCTGGATACACAGTATCCCTGGCAGGACGTGTATTTGAAGAACAATGGGGAGGTGCTGCCGAAATTCTGTATCGGATAGGAGTAGAGCATGGAAACTAACTTCATCTACGGATCCTCTCATGGGATTAGTACATATCCTCACCTATTGGATAGTAGGAACGTCGTGTAGATGCAATTGATGTTTATTTTACTAGCCGCTATATATGTTAGAGGATGGAGGACCGTGAGTGGATGTACACGAGCCGCGCAAGTTAGGGTCAGGTCACCAATGAATGGATCGACAAGACCGATGCTTTCTTGGAACGGGCATTTGGCGTGGCTGCTAAAGGAGCGAGTAAAATTTGCTGCCCCTGCAGCAAATGTGCAAACAGGAAAAGACAAACGAAGAAGGTCATGGGGAAACATCTTTGGAAGAATGGATTTACGGTAGACTATACCCGGTGGGTCTACCATGGTGAAGCCGATCGTATTCATTGGACATTCTTGAAATAATGAATGGATACATCGTGTTTGTATGCAGGATTTCTTTAGATGTCAGGACGGACATGATGCCAGGGCGGATGCGGTGGCTACCAAATGCTGCAAAAAACTCATCGTGGACATGCATTACGAGGCGCGCATCCAGGCCATCGTAACTTACCACGGGACCGTCCTTGGAACGAAGGTCACCAAAAGGGACGCAAGAACCATGACGCTGACCCGGGACCAGTACCTGCAGGTAAATATAGACCATTAATACTGATTCCTTTTGAGATTAAGTAGACTTAATTTCATCTTCTGATATGTCATGTACTTGATGCCCTGTAGATGATTCCTTATTGGTGCGCCGCACATCCCCAGTGCTGGGAACAGATGGTGGACAAGTGGTGCTCAAGCGTGTGGGAGGAGACGCACAACTTGTGCCGGGAGCGATGTTTGATGATGCCAGGTGTAGCACACCATCAAGGCAGCCGTAGCCTCAGCGGATACGCAGAAACATGGGTACGCGAATTCATTTATTTATTCTAATGCTCAATTCTGTATGATTTCTAATCATCTTGCTATTTTTCTCGTAGTCGGCGTCACATGGTGGCCAGCCTTGCTCCATTTTCAAGGCATTTGCTATGGCCCACAAGGGCAAGGTGACATCCGACGTCGACTACAACCCGGAGGACGGGCCCGAGGCCTACAGCAATGCGACCGACCACAACCGCCTCAGTGAGTACACATCGATGGCAAAGGAGGTCCATGGGCCAGAGTACGATTCGAGCACCGATGACCTTGATGGAGAAGTCATCATAAGGGTGGAAGGAGGCAAGAAGCATGGGCGGTACTGGATTGGCGACGGCGCAATCGACTCGGCCGCTACTCCCAGTCTCTACCAGATTCGAGCAAGCAGCATGAGCACGAGTCCTGCCATATGACCTCGACAGGACACTTCACACCACCGGGTGGAGGCACTCGAGGTTATTCCTGGTTTATTCGTCATTCATTGGTTTTTTCATACCTTTTCTTTGCATTATTGTAACATTGGGGTGAATATATTGTAGGCCCAGCTGGAACAAGAGAGGAGGATACGGGAGCAGATGCAGGCGAAGATGGAGAGGGTGGAGGCCGAGCGGGAGGCCGAGCAGTGGAGGATGGCGGAGATTCTTCAGTACATGCAAAGTCTTGGCGCCGCTACGGGTGTAGTTCAGCCACCTTCGCTATTCGCTCCACCTCCATTACCACCTCCTTACTATTCTACTCCTATGAGTATAAATGTTTTAGTTTGTATGTTCATGCTTACGGTCAAATCTAGTGGAGTATGAAAGTTTTATTGATGTATGGTATATATTTATCTTGTCTCACACATGCAATCTCTTCACCTTTGTGCAGAATTAATCGGCGACATCGAACGATCCTCATGCTTCAGCGAATCCTTCACCAAATCAGTCTCATTGGCCATCTTGGTGATGATACTTGTGGTTGCTAATAGTACTTTTATTTGTAATTGTGGTTGTAGATGATGGAGCACTTGGATTACTTGTGAACTTATTTGTGACATATTGTGAGACATATGACGTTTGTGATATATATGTGACGTTTGTGATATATATATGGTGTTGGTGATATATATGTGCTGTTGATGATATATATGTGATGCTGGTGATGTTTGTTATATATATCTTCTATTTGTTTGGATGGGATGTAAAAAACAAATAAAAAAGGTTGTTTTCAGTCATTTTGCCGAGTGCAATGGCCATGACACTCGACAAAGTGAATACCTGGGAACATGCTTTGCCGAGTGCCACGGGCCAGGCACTCGGCAAAGGTCGTCGGTTTGCCGAGTGTCTTGATAGGACACTCGGTAAATAGTCTACCTTTGCCGAGTGTCTTGCCGGTGGCACTCGGCACAGTGGCTACCTTTGCTGAGTGTCTGAGTCAATGGCGCTCAGCAAAGTGGCGACCTTTGCTGAGTGCTTACCTTAACACTCAGCAAAGCCGCTGTCACAGTGGCGCTCGCCGTCACGGCGACTTTTCTTTGCCGAGTGTCAGATTAGCACACGGCAAAGGCTTTGCCGAGTTCCCGATAAAGTGCACTCGTCAAAGATGTCTTTGTCGATAAACTATTTACCGAGCGTCCTTTGCCGTTTGCCGCGTGTAACACTCGGCAAAGACTTTGCCGAGTATATATCGGCCTTCGCCGAGTGCCTAAGGCACTCGGCAAAGAAGCTGAATCCTGTAGTGACTGGGCGTGGTGGAGGTGGAGGAAAGACGAGGCCTGTGGCCACGGCGGCCAGTAAATGGACATGATAGATGCAACTTCAAAGTTCAAGCAATCTGATTATTAGCACTAGCTATTATTTGGTGGCCGGCTGGACACTACGAGCTCAAGTTTTGAGGAAACTGTTAGTACGGATTGTGAAATGGTCAATTTCTGAATCATTACCAAATGCGCGCTTAAGAGAGGAAGACGACGGATTATTGGAGTCGTTTCGTTTGTTCATTGCGTGAAAGCAACCTGCCGGCGACGGCATGCTAACGTTGTCGGGGTCGTTTGTCTCTTAACGTGAAGTTGTGATTCAGATTATCATGTATATAGAGGGGGAAAAAAGAGAAAAAAAAAAGGCTTGATCTTTGGTGTGCAAGTACAGGAATGATAGCATGCTAGTGGCTTGCGCGTGGCTGCTATGTGTGTGCGCGTTACTAGAACAATTTCTCAACACGTTCAGGCTCAGCACGAGTTCTTCCGAGCTAAGGGTAAGAAGGTGAGAAGTTGATTCTCCTACACACAAACAGAGACATCACAAGCTCATCGATCACCAGTTGATATGCGCATAAGCACCACGGTAGTTTTGAGCATGGCGCCAAGCTATATCTCACAGGTTGCCAGAAGCTGAAGCAACCAAACATTAACTCTGATGTCCCAGACAACATGCTCGTTGGCGTTTCGGTAATGCCCAGCAACATGAATTAGGCTCTGACATCATTGTCGTCGTCCAAATGTGAGAGACGAAGTGAAGTAACTTGCCAGCCCTGAAGAGGTGAGCACTCAGGCACGGTAGAGGATCCTCGCACCGTGGAAGCCATAGCCGCCATCCTGAAGACCTGCGTGCAGATCAGGCCTCCACCGTCCTGAGGAGGGTGAGCGGCCGTACCATCCTGAAGACATAGTATAAATATAAGTGCATAGCAAAATTTATGTATCTAGAAGTGTCAAAATGCTCTATAATTTGGAACGGAGGGAGCAACAATTAAAACAAAACTGTAGGGTAAATATAGTTCGACCTGCATCCATTATCCGAAAAATAAATCCGAAAAGATATACTGGAATTGTAGTGTTTGTTGTAACGAAATATTCCTCTCTAGTCTCTACCGATGAAAAACCATACACGCACCCAAGCTGAAGTGAAGCCGACCACGTCTAAACCGGAGGAAGCAGTCCATCATCGTCGAGTCGGTGCCCGACCGGCAGAGCGGCCACGTCAAGTGTTCATCCAGCCAGGGGTCGATGCACTCGACGTGGTACAAGTGCAGGCACACCGGTAGCAGCCGCACGTACTGTCTCCCCGACCTAGAATGCTCGGAGGCACACCGAACAGGTCGCCGCCTCTTCACTGCCACCGCTGGTCACGTTGTGCCTCACCGATCGGTTGTAAGCGAATGACGGGAGGCCCGACGTCGGGATGGCGCGCCGTGGCTCGCCTTCAGGTGCGGGTGCGGGTGCGGCGCGGCGTTGCTGCTGCTCGCTGTGGCCCGACTGATCTGACACCGTTGGCTGAGGTCGTAAGGTGAGACCTGCAGACGGCGTGGCAGCATCGGTGGCCGCATTGGCGCGGCTCTGGCGATGCCCTAGGACGAGGCTGCATATGAAGGAGATGATTAACAGCAGGACCCCAACGGCGATGCTGACACCTGCGATGGCCCCGCCTGATGGCTTGTGAGTAGGAGTCGACGACGGCGGTGGACGCCATGGTGTAGGCGGTGGGCGTGGCGTAGGTGGAGGAAAGACGATGCCTGGCAACGGCGGCATGTAAATGGACATGATGCAACTTCAGACTTTCAGAGTTGAAACAATCTGATTATTACTAGCTAATATTTGGTGCACGGCTGTACACTACGAGCTCAAGTATTGAGGAAACTGTTTGTAGCTAGTAGGACTCAGCATCCCGGATGTCAAATGGTCAATTTCTGAATCATTGCCAAATGCGCGTCTACGAGAGGATGACGACCGACTATTGGCGCCGTTTCCTTTGTTTATTGCGTGAAAGCAACCTGCCGGCGACGGCATGCTAACGTTGTCGGGGTCCTTTATCTTAACGTGAAGTTGTGATTATTCAGATTATCATGTAGAGGACAAAAAGAAAAGGCTTCATCTTTAGGCACTACTACAGAATTTAACTGTAGGAGCGGCTCTAGAGCCAGACGGCTGTGTCAGCCGCCCTTCCCAGGGTGTTCCTATAGAGGGTGCCTCTGTAGGGGCGGTTTTCTGACCGCCCCTGCAGTGCCCTCTGTAGGGGCGGCTGGTGTTTTCAGTCGTCTCTACAGTGCCCTCTGTAGGGGCGGCTGGTGTTTTTAGCCGCCCCTGTAGTGGACTTCTGTAAGGGCGGTTGTATCACCAGCCGCCCCTGCTGGGTGTATTTGTAAGGGCGGTTCAATCAAGAACCGTCCCTACAGTGAATTTTCCAGCAAAAAAAAAATAATTCAAATTCAAATCTGACTATATATATATATATAATTCAAATCAAGTAACAACAATCTTTTCTCAACTCTGACATATATTTAAGCATTTCTAGGAAGTACACCAATTCACACTAAATATTTTGACATTGGTTTCACAAAATCACAGCAAGTAAATACAACTAGAATAATAAAGTTCAAACATTTGCTCTAGCCAATACTGAAAATTCAGTACATTTGATGCAGTCACAACTACACATGCAGATATTGCTACTGCTAAGAAATCTCCATGGAGACAAATAATTGTTAAGAACAATCATGCAAGGACAGCTACATGGAAAACCAATTTCAACAGAGATAGATTCATTACATATGAAAGCCCTTACCTTGAGGATTTGTACTTAACATTGTCAAATATTTTGGATACAAACTTTTCTACAAATCAACATGTCTGATGTCTGCTGTTGGGCCATGGAATAGTGAGACATGAGAATTACCTATAGTATTTAATTATTGGATAAAGAAGAATAATTAGCAAACATAGAAGTTCCTAGTAGTGAAAACATATATACACCTGTAGCTATAAATTAAAATATGCTGACAAATGAAAAGATATAGATTGTTTGCTTCCTGAAAATGATTCATGTTTAGAACAGATAACAAGAGTTTGAAATCTAAAGTTTTGTGGCATTGTGTAATAGAAGGAATCACTAGTATTCTTTTCTTTTTTTACAAATGAATTAGGTAGAGAAAGAGCTCTAAATGAAAGTTGGATTAGAACCAAACTGAATGAATGTGTAATGCTTGAGCCTATTTGTTAAGCTATCAGACCTGTAGCAATCATCTAAGCTTTTTTAAGCCTATTTGTTAGGCTAAAAGCATTCCTTTTTGTCGGATGACTAGCTATTTATATTCGAGGCCTATTTGCCCTACAAGTTACATAGTCGTGCCCTAATTGGAGTCTTGGCGTGATCTTCAGATATCCTTCCTTAAATAGGCGAGTCGTGAACCTTTAGGTCTTGTTCGTGATTCGGTAGCTAGCATATCAGCTAGTCGGGAATCCTAGGAATATGGCACCGTCACTTTTGTTTACACTAGTGCATGTCTGGTCAAAATATGTAACCAAAGCATACAGTACTACTACACATGCTTTTAGAAAAGTATACTACGCCGGATTTCAGTTTTCAGCGATGGAATGTACTTCCTGTAATGACAGATAATAATCAGCACCCAAAGCAAATAGCTGCTGGTCCTTACCTTGCCATATGGCGAGACTAGCTACTAAAGTGTCGTGATCTTGTCCCCCAGCTTGTGGCTCCTCATACATGGTGCCAACATAAAGTAAAACCAGAAAAAAAATCAGAATCAGAAAAGGAAAACAAAAAGACAAGCCTCCTGAAATGTTTAGCAGTATTGACTAATAATTGTTCTATTAATAAATACTAACATAATAATTCATCAACATGCACTAGACCCTACCATAAGATAAGAGAGTTCTATTAACAAACAAAGACAAATTAGATATTTTGGTGGCACTAGATAAATAAGCAAGTTTCAACTGACTAAAATTTTTAGCCCTGCAGTTCTGCAGATACCAGAAAAATGCATAAAAGTACGGGTAACAAAAAGACATATTACAAAGAGGAACACACTAAAATGTTTGGTAAAAAGAGGCCAAACATGTCCACATGAAAAGCAGGATAGAACGCCAAAGCAGAATTTTAATCCTACAGCATCCAAAAATGACACAATCTGATCGTCAACTACAGCAACTAAAAACAGAGAAGATTAGACAACTCTTCTTGCCTTTTGGATCGTGCAAGTGCAAGGTGCCAACAATTGGAGAAAGCGGCTGAAATTCAGACATGGGTTAGTGCATTAATTTCATCCCACACAAAAAAAAATCAGTAGTAGATTTTAAGCTTGCAACAGCACATCAATGTCAGAAACTGAGAAGCAGCAGCATTCAGTAAGCTAACAGGTTAGTGCATGGACAGGTACCATGCCTATCTCATGGTTTGTGTTGTCGACTTCAAGTTGGTAATGACGACAAGCCTCCTGAAAATGCCTCAGCGCTGCCAAAGAGAACAGAATCACACAATCTTAGAAACGTTGCGATAGAAACATTTTCCCTGAGAGGTAACTCAAGTATCTAAAAATATTACCCAAGTATGAATGACTACAGCTTCACTGTATCAGCCTAACCAGCTTAATTGGACTTCATGTTCAATCCCAGAAAAATGAGGCCTGACAAAATTCTTCTGATAATTTATCAGGTCTGACTCCCACAGTTCAAACACAGTACTACACCATTTTGAGTATGCTACAAGTGGCATTTTTTACATCAGGACTAAAACACTAGAATAAGATCACAAAAAGTTGTATTTTGTCATTGGCAACAAGAGCTGACCTTATTGCAAACAGAGCAACATATTTCATGTCTGAGTTACAATATCTGATTTAAGTACAAGTTGTAAAGGATGGAGCCAGATATGCACATACTAGCAAATAAAAATGGATGCTCAGAGTATTTACTGATCAATTAGGACTCAGAGTAACAGGAACTAGATTGCCGCTGAACCAAATGAAAATAGTCTCGATAGCACATACTAGCAAATAATCTGCTCACTAATTAATTGTAATACGGCCATACAGGTGAGCTGTAGCAAAAATAATACTAGATCCGTACAGCGGCAACCCTAACCCTAGATCCCCAAACACATGTCCATAATCCATCCATGCACAAATCCAACAGGAGTAGGGGCTCACCGCAGTAATGGATGTCCGAGTTGGGAGAGAAGTAGGCGGGGAACACCGCAACGAGGGGGAAGCACGGACTCGGGCCCACGGTCAGGGCCAAATCTGGGCGCCTGCGCGCCTCTGGGAGCTCGCCTGCACAGGCTGCGCAGCCCTGCCCGTGCCCGCCTGGCCAGGAGGGGTGGTGCAGCTAGGGCTGCTGGGTTGCTACGAATCCAGCCCGGCGAGGTCAAGGGCACGGCACGCCCAGCGCCCGCCTAACCAAGGGCGCGCCTGGCATGCAGCAGACACGCAGCTACTACCAGCGCGCGCAGCCCACCCCAAGCGCTGGGAGTGGTGACCTAAGGGGTTGGGGCATCACCGCGCGTCGTCAACCTGGTGAAGGCAGGGGGCGCCAGAGACTGAGGGATGGGATGCACGGGAGGAGACGGGGTGGGGACTGGGGAGGCGAGTAGTAGAGAGGATAAGGTTGGGTCGGGGGTTTGGGGTCTTGGCCGACTAGAATAAGGTGGGGTTGTGTTTTCTTTTTTTTTATCCTTTTTTCTTCTTTCCCTTCTTTTCCTCTATTCTTTTTTTCATTCTTTTGTTTTTTCCTCATACTAACTCCAAATGGGATGGTTTTTTTTTCCTAAAAATTTCTAAAATCATGCTTCAACATTTAAGTTTGATCAAACTTGGATGTGACAATGTTTTACGCACTTTAAAATTTGAAATTTGAAATTTGACAAGTTCAAACCAAATTTTAAAATCCTAAATGATTTCAGATGTAAAAGTGATAAATACAAAAGTTGTTCAACTCATCAAGATCTACAACTTTTATTTTTGTCATTTTGTCATTTGACAAAATTTGAACCTTTCAAATTTGAAATTTTAAAAAACGACAAGTTCGAACAAAATTTGAGACCCAAAATGATTTCAACATAAAAAGTGATGAGTACCAAAGTTGTTCAACTCATTAATATATACAACTTTTATTTTAGTCATCTTGTCATTTGACAAAATTTGAACCTTTCAAATTTGAAATTTTGAAAAACAACAAGTTCGAACCAAAATTTGAGACCCAAATTGATTTCAACATAAAAAGTGATGAATACCAAAGTTGTTAAACTCATGAATATCTACAACTTTTAGTTTAGTCATCTTGTCATTTGACAAAATTTGAACCTTTCAAATTTGAAATTTTGAAAAACGATAAGTTCAAACCAAAATTTGAGACCCAAATTGATTTCAACATAAAAAGTGATGAATACCAAAGTTGTTCAACTCATAAATATCTACAACTTTTATTTTGGTCATTTCTTCATTTGACTAATTCTTAGTACACATTGTTCACTAATCTTACACATGTCTCTTATAGTTTATAAAACCTTATGAGAGATGTGTCACATTTGTGAACAATGTCATTACTACTTTGTCATATGAAGAAATGACCAATACAAAGTTGTAGATCTTGATGAGTTATTCAACTTTGGTATTTATCACTTTTTCAGCTGAAATCATTTGGGGTACCAAAATCTTGTCTGAAGTTACATTTTTT